TTCGTCTGTCCTTGGGACTCAGTCAGCCCAAAAAACCGCAAACAACAGCTTTGCGAGGAACAGCGTTATTGCGTTGTTGCTTGTTGAATTCCTAGTCGAATTTAACAGACATATCTCACTTGATCGCTCAAAAGCAGCGAATTACTTGCTAATTCCATCGGACTTAGCTTATCTTTTCCTTATTAAAGGACAATCGCTCGAGGGCAGCGTACTTTTACTTGCTGAATCACAGCAAATACGTTATCACTAATAAAAAATCCGCTCAACAGCAGCGAAGTAAGTAAAGGAAATAAGTAGAGATATCAATATGGCACTCTACTTTTACAAAAAACCAATTATTGCTGGCGCCACAGCCCTAGCCACTCTGTTACAGAAATATCAGCGCTACGGAGCAAACTTAGAGTATCCGGAGAAAGAGGAGGGACTTTACGAAAAAGCACTGGCAAACGTTACCCTTTTATCGTCAGCAATTAGTCGTATAAGGACCGCTATCGAGACTATTCAAGAAAGAGTCGGCAAGATAGAGAATCATTATGCTATTGCAAAAAAGACTGATCAAAAAGAACTCATCATAGAAGTTCAGGAAATTGAAGGAGGATCTCAATATCCACAACACTAAGCGAACGCTGAGGTTTTCATTCTTATACTGGAAGCTCAGTTAACTGAGGCTAAAGTAAATTTGGCAAAAGCCCAGAGAAATTAAAATTACCTTCAGCCAATAATGACAGTGAAGGATCATCAACTCGCAGTAACAATCAGACAAGTTGGTCTCAGGGAAACTCGGAGGAGCCGAATTCTGAGAGCACCTCAAGAATGCGGTCAATCAAACCGCCCAATATCAGCCTACCGAAATTTTATGGTAGCGAAGAGGAATTTCCGGAGTACAGGGCAGTTTATAAATCCCTCATTCACACAAGCAATGACCTGAGCACAATTGTGAAAATTGTTCTACTCAAAGATAGCTTGAGAGGGAAGGCCGAAAGAGCCATCAGAGCCATCAAGCCATCAGCCGATAGCAAAGAATTATGTGTGGATCGTGTAGACACTCAAAGATAAGTTCGGCAGCCGACCGGTCAATAGGTCAAAAATAGTGCAGAAACTCTTCGACTTGAAACCTGCCGCACAAAATGCAAAAAGCTGTGATGATTGCTTGGACCCGATCAAAGCACTTGTGAACAAAGTGGTCTCTACTGACTACGACATCAGAGCCACTAGCGATCCGATGTGGACTGAAACAATCATTAAAAAGTTCCCTTACACAGTAATAAAGGACGTCCTAGCAAAATATCAGGACGACAAAAATATCACAATTGGGAATCTCATAACGCTGTTAGAAAGAGAAATATCCTCCAAACTCTTTGTCGTGGTGCTGTGGTTCCAACAGCGAACAAACCAGGGAAACTAGGTCCACTGATGATTGTAGAGCACAAAGCCTAAGGTATCCTCAAACCTGCGCCTTTTGCGGACGCAACAATCACCACGCGGCGCTGTGTAGAACCGTCACCGACATTCGAAGGAAACGCACTATTGCCAAGGTAAACCGTCTCTGTTGGAAATGTTGCCATGGTAATCACTCAAGCAATCAATGCAACAAGCCTAATTGTCCCTGTTGCGGCCAGAAACATCATCAAAGCATATGTCTGGCAAGCAGACCGTTCGGTATCAGCATGAGAGCCCCACCGGCAAATCCCTGGTCGGCAAGAAATGAGACCAATCAACAAAACTATGGCAGCAGACCGCTACAATCTGATAGCAGGCCTAGCAGTCGTTATTGCAACGGTGATAGGAGAACCCAACAGACCAACACACAGGTCATTCAAATCGAGCAGGATTACGACCGCTCAAAGATCGACACGAGAAAAAATGAACAACTGATTCTTATGACAGCAGAGGGCAATCTTTGGAATAACAAAAACAAAAGTTTCGAGAAAGTGCTCTTCTTCTTTGATACTGGAGCTCACAAAACCATGACTGAGGAGAAAGTAGCAAACGACTTTGGACTTCCGAAACTCTTCACAGAAACATGTACAATGTCGGGCATTGGAGGACACGTTAAACGGTTCGATAGCACAAATGTACCTTTGAGAGTTAGATCTGCGTATGGGAAAGAACTACGCTTCAACGTACAAACCAAACCAATCGTAACAAAAGGATTTCCCTCAGTAAAACTGACAGAAGAAGATGCCAATTTCCTTGAACATAACCAGATTAGCGTCGCAAATTCCAATTTACAGGGAGAGCGACAGGTGCCCAAAATTTTAGTTGGACTCGACAGATATCACGACCTGGTCGTAGAAGACGGATTTCCACAGAGAACACTCTAAGGATTGCGAATCGCAAAAACCTTGTTCGGTCCAGCAATTTATGGCCGAGGCAGGCTAGACAACCCAGCAGAACATCAGTCCGTTTCCTTTGGGTTGATGGCCATCCACAAAGATCGAGTATCAGAGGATCGAGTATCAGATAAACCTTTCAAACTAGAAGGGTTAGGAGTTTCTTCTGATGATTGCGCCACTGAAAATAAAGCTCAGCAACATTTCGAAAGTAACCCAAATTCAATATCGATCGACATAGGTTATGTCACAGCACCATTTCCAATGCGGTGCAATATCTCAAAACTTGAGGATGAGGCCACGTTCACGCAGATTAGGCTCAGAGACGCACACAAAGAGTTATGCCGCCCACTGTGTGCACCGGATACCACGAGGCTTATTGTGAGGTCAAACATATTAGAGTACCGTTTTAAGCGGTTACCATTCAGCATCATTGCGTCACCTAGTCTCCCAACTATTACAACTATTTTGCGTCTAGGGTTTTCATACTCGGACGGGACCGAATCATTAGCAGAAATAAGCGGAAACCTGTATGCAGGCAATATTTTAGTTCAAGCACAAACTGAGGGGAAGATTCTCCAAAAATACAAGGAATCGAAGAGTTTCTTCTCAAAAAGCAGTACGATTCTCCGACATTATGTTTCCAACTCTAATATTGTTAATATGGTAATACCGAAGAACAGCCGGACTCCATTTGGTAAAAGGAAACTTCTTGACGCTCAATACGACAAGAGCAACCGGTTAACAGTCAAGACAAAATTCAATATGAAGATGACGCTGACGAAAAGAGATATAGTCATCCAAACTGATTCTGTGTACGACCCGCTCAGTGTTGTTAATTCATTATTAATTGGATTGGCATCTTTGATCAGGGAGATCTTTATCATGCATTCAAGACGGGATGACCGCGTTTCCATGGAACTCCACAAAAAATGTAGTACGTTATGGGTGACAAATAACGCTATGATAACAATCCACAGAGTTCTTAAGGGAGAAAATAAGCTTTTGAAAGGTGTATGTCTCTGGCTCTTCTCGTGCCCAAGCAATGAAGCTGTAGCGGCATAATCTTATACAGTATCACAAAATAAAACGCCTTGCCTTCTCGTAACTAGAGAAACCAAGCTGTCACCAAAGGAAGCGCCACGAACCATTCCCAAGCTCGAACTTTTAGAGCTAGTCATTGCTCTGCGTCTTGGAAGCTCAATGTGATGGGATGACAACTACCCCATTAAAGCACTAGCAATCGTGAGCGATAGCGGCGCTCGCAAAAAGCATGCAGGTGGGGTGGCTCGGCCTTTGTGGTCGCTGCCTCAAGCCAGTTTAGGCCAAAGACGACGACTGCGGCGTACAGTGTGCGACGTGTGGCAGACCACACGACGTGCTACTGTGCGCCAATCGAGGAAAAGGACTTCAAACGACAATTATGGGCGGCGGACACTACAAAATTCTATTGTTTCTTATGTGTGTAAATTTTAACTAATCGTGGCCGGCGAGAGTGTTCTGGCATAGGCCAGAACCCGCGGTCATCAACGCTTCTTCAGGGCGGGGCTTGAGTAGGAGATTCCCTTTTCTGTCATACCCGCTACAGGGGACTCTTGCTTGCACACCACCCGCAACTAGGGTGCTTGCGCTCGTCACTAATAAATATATATCACGTATTCATTCGTTCGTTCGTTTATCAGAGACAACAATCTCTGATTATATCAAAGGCGTCACCCTTCCGCCTAATCACCACAGTATCTTGCTTGTAAAATTCTGCGTTCGATGCACACTGTGTGCAAAACTTAGGGAAGAAAGCAACTTCCGATTACTGTACCTCTGTTAGACGACAGAGCTCGATGAAATTTATACCATACCAACTGGGGACCGTTACGACGTTGCACAGGAAGCAACTGACAGAAAATCGAAATAACACGAGTAGATAAGACATCTTTATTCAAAGGTACCGATTACTCATAGTTCCCAATAATTTGTCCTAGTATTTCAAATAAGGGCGGAGGTGGTGTAGTGGCAAGTCGCGCACTATATCACACGCACGGTCAGGGGTTCCAATCCCGGATCGATGCCCGCCTAGGCCAACCAAGCCTTCCATCCCTTGGGGTCAGTGAATTGGTACCAGACTCGTGTGGGAGGATAAAAACACTGACTTGTACATCGGCTGACCACCGCATTTCATTGTATAGGCCACATACGCACTCATTACGCCACTACGATTCTGAATGGAAGTCGAGTGCGGGGGTGCATCCCTCAGAACGGATTAATTAACGCCAAAAACTTTATCCTTTATCCTTTTAAACTCCAAATAAAGCGACGCAGTTTCTAATAGGCTGTGTGATCACCAAGGATAGCAATAAATGCTCTGCAGCGCGATCCCATGCTTTCCGCGAAGTTGGTGATGAGCTCCTGTGGGCTCTAGGCATTCCACTCCTCAATCAGCACAATTGAAAATTGTTGGATGGTCACTACTAGGTGCATTTGGACGTGCTGCAATGCGTCTACTCAATGCATCCCACACGTGCAACATGGAATTCAGATCGGAGGAGGGGGCAGGCCGTTTATTTGCCGGATTTGCTCTTGTGCAAAGAGCTCCTCCACATCTGCTGTCCGATACGGTCACGCACTGTCATCCATAAAAATGAATCCACTGCCCACTGTAGCCTTGAAAAGATGCACCCGGGGAAGGAGTACTTCGCCACAGTAACACTGACTGGTAAGGGTTCCCCGGTCAAGGATCTGAAGGTCAGTACGGCTATGCAGCACGATGCCTCCCCATACCAATACGCTTCGACCCTCAGAACGATCATGTTCGACAGTTTCTGGAAGAGTTGCGCGTTTCTACCTCTCGCCAAGGATGAGTTCAGAATCACTATTCAGATCGAATCTGCTCTTATCCGTAAAGTGCACACGACTCCATTCCTTATCGGCCCATTCGCTATGCTCCTGGCACCACCCTAAACGGTCTCGCCGATGCACGAGGGTCAATGGAGCACAACGTAGCGGTCGTCTGGGGATAGACCGCCACCGTGCAGTCGTCGTGCCTTTATAGTGCGCGAGATGTCTTGCCTTGAAGTCTTGTTAAATAACATTTCAATCACAGAAACCGATTAACGTGGATCTCTTCTTGCCTGCCGCTCAATGTAGCGGTCATACCTGAGTGTAGTTGATCTTAGTCGACCACCTCCTCTCCTCCGTGCAGCAGTATCAGAGGTTTGGAATGCTCTTAGTGCAGGTGAAGCAATGCTGCTAGCGATAACAGGCTCCTGAGCTTCACTTCGCTTGATTCTACCTTTTTCATGTTTTTCGATGACCCTTCTTCGTGACTCGTCATCTAGACGATGTGTGCGGGACATAATATGTGGAAGGATACCACCACAGTATTTGGTAGCTACTGGATGAATGGGAAAAAAGTTCGTACCTATCGACTGGCTCGATTTGTGCGGGCAGGCATATTTCTCGCTTTATTCAAACCACATATTCCTCGACGGAGGGAAGTCTAGCTTCCTGTACATAGCCTTCATAGGTCTGGCAATATACTGCCACACTTTCAATTACTTCCACCCAGTCCTCAATGTTTTATGTTACATTATCCATCTCGTCCTTAAGTTTTGCACACCGGTGTATATAGCGTAGGCGGTAGCGCAATGGAACATTTTCATGCTCTGGGTATGCCCCCTCTCCAATCTGTAGCAGCATCCTTGCCCACTCTACGCTATCTGCTACAGCTCTCATATTCACTGAAAGGTCATGAGTGACAAAATGCTGTCGCAAATGAGACCTCTTGATCCTTTGACGACAGCGCGCCTTTTTGCTTATCTGGCACGCGAGACAGACGCTGCGTATTGGCGCGCGAGACAGACACATTTCGAAGCTTTCCGCTTACGCGGCTCACCTGTCCCACGACTTTAATAATTTTCTAGCGTGAAAATTTTTTGTTTTTTTAGGAGTTTCTCTTTCATGATTCGGTTTTAAAGAGGTGTAAATTAGTTGGTAATCATGAGTTTTCAACTTAAGTTAAATCTGATTTCATGCATAGTATAACTTTGAGAATCGAAATGGATCAGCCTGCAATGGACGATTCAGAGGGTGGTTTTGAAAGATTATTAGTTGAACCGGGCGAAAATGAAACTGAAGAATAAATTTTTTCAAGCTGTGTTTTGAAGGTGTTACACATGGGAGGCTAGGATTTACTTAAGATTTAGATTCAAGTTTTTCTCCGGTAGACAACCCACAAGCAATGATTCAGCAGCTGCATTTGCGTATGGACATACTCTTCAATCAAGGAATGCGTCTCTGTACCGATAATAGTGAATGACTTATTGGAACATAGCACCCACTTGTCCGACAGTCGAAAAGACGACAAGGAATATTAATAAAGTCGAAGATAGGTAGATAAAGAAGGGCAAGTTTTCGAAAAATTCGTTACAAACAACTAACTCAAGCTTACGGAGTTGTTTGCGCTTCCAAAAGACGAGTCAATTCTAGGGGCAGTAGATGTGAAGGTTATTTTTATTGTTTGCTCTCGAAGAATGCACAAAAAGTGTGATTTCCAGGGAGAGAATCAAATTGATTAGTAGTTTTTAGTAATTGGCAGCGCTTTTCATAGCTTAATTTGTGCATAGTGTTATTTGGTGATTGCAACCCATTAAATACAAAAAACTCTAAGTGAAACTATTAATCGAGAAAAACAACCAATGAGAAGGGCACGGTCCACCGTTGAGCCGCGCTGTCCCACGCGATCAAAAGAGCGCGGCTGACCGTTGTCAAGGGGGTAATGCATGTTTTTCCAAATCATTCTGTCGCCCTGTCTTCATAACAGGAAGGGCCTGCAAAAAGTCTCCCCCAACCACCATAACTTTGTCCCCGAAAGGCGACTCATTTTGCATAATATCTCGCAACAAAAGATCAACCGCTTCCAACGTCCACTTAGAACCGTTGAAATTTCATCCCAAAAAGTGATGGAAATGTCGTGCAATGCTCTGGCTTCAAAAGACTCTTGTGCTCGTGCTTGTTTTGCAGCCGTCGTGAATATTGAACTTAAAGGTACTGCATGCAGTTCTACCTCGTGATAGCAAACTAATATAAGCAATACCCGTCCAGGTCACGCACATGACATTTCTGCCCATTCCTAGAAATGTGATACAGAGCTATGTACAAATGTTTTCCCACCCCTTCCTACATCATTCATTTGCAAAATGTCGTCTGCTGCGGTCATTGATGTTCGTTCAAATTATCGGACAATTCTCTACCCCAAGCTGCGTGTTCAATTTCCGATTCATAATCCTCAACTGAATTTCCTGGCCTTCGACCAGCCGAAGGAGTAACGAAATTGCTTGAGTTAAGTCCACATATCCGCATTCTGTCCATAAGATCGTAGTAGGCTCGGATTACTCCTTCACCGCTCAAGCCACGATGCACATAATTTTCTGCCATAGCCGATTTGAACTGTTCCCACAGCTGCTCCAGCTCTGTAATGTCACAAAACCATAAGAGACTGCTGAAAGGTGATCGGAATGCTCATGGGATTTGAAACTCTGCCGCGTCTCTTAGACAACTTCCGTAATGGGAGTCATCATGTATCAGTCCAAGAGCCTTTGCGGCTTCCTTGAAACGTTACAAATGAAAACATCACACTCTTTAACTCATCAAATGATTTGGCTCCTCTTCTGTTCAGTAGAAGTATTCGAAGGCTGTGGCGCTCTAGATCTAGTGGATTTGCTGTGTACATTCTTCCTACTTGCCGGCTTTGTTCCCGTCTAATGCTCCACTTTCTTGTCTGCTGATTGAATAAGCGGTGCTCCGGCAGCTGGTCCACAAAATAAAGTCCGAACATCGACCTCACCTTGTAGTACATTTCCGGTTCCAAACGCAGCCTCGAGTTCCGCAGCGTGTTTGAGTTCGAGGTGAGCTGTTAGCGTCGTGTCTCTTCAGCTGCACGACGGAGAACTTCCTCTTGAAGAAAGACAACACCCCGCGTTCTGGCAAATGCTTGCAACAGGTAAACGGTATACGATTTGCAATGGAGGACGAAGCTCAGCAATCTATGCGCAGATTCCCGATCACACACATATCTGGCATTGACGAACGGATCGATCTCGTTGATTGCTCCTACTCATCATCCCCATCTGTTCTAATCATATGTGCCTACCTGGACCCTTGCATACGTATTTGTATTAGGTTGGAAGATAAGTCCTGCGACACTTTGAACATGTTCCTCCAGATTAAAACCAAAACACTTTCCAAATGTTTTCCCGCCCGATTACTGTAGAGTGTTCCTGAAGGTTTTCGAAAGTGGACATAGAAGTGCTTCGCGAAGAATCTTAAGCCATTACACTCAATAATGGATCAAGCTATCATCCGTCCAATTGTCTACTACGAATTCCTGCAGGGACACTCTGCGAGAACCGCTGCAGCTAACATCTGCGCTGCCTTCAAGAAGGACGTTGTTCATCATTCGACGGTGTCCCGATGGTACAAGCGCTTTGCTGCCGAAGAAATTTTGTTCGAGGACAGACAACGTAGTGGTCGCCCATCGGAGTGGAATGATGAGCGTTTACTCAGCGCCCTTCAGATGCAGCCTAATGCGACCAGCCGTGAATTGGCGACAACAATAGGATGCACCCATACGACAGTTATTGAGCATCTCCACGAGCTTGGCTACAGGTCAATATTCTCACGATGGGTTCCTCATGAACTACGCCTGTCTGACAAGAC